CCCCCCCCCAAAAAAAAAACAGCTTTCCCGTGGATACCTCACAAAAAAAACCCAAAAAGCAAGAGTGGCTCCCCAGTCATCTAGATTCACACAATATACCTCCTGGACTCCAAACTAAAATCCAGTCTAGGTCTGCAATGTGTGGGTCCTTGGGCCAAGGAATGCCCTGCAACTCCTTGGCTGGGTCGCTCTTTTCAGCGCCTCCAACAAGGCTTCTGGACTGCTGTTTGTCTTCAAGGGTAATATGGGGGAATTGGTGCAGTGAATGCAGGCACCATCAGCTGGGAGTACATAGGGGTGTGTAGAACGAACAACTCCCCCAGTCCCTCATAAGCACTGGTAAGTTGCTTGGAATGGAAAAGAAAATGCAGGCTGCTATGCAAGTGAAGGTTTATTGTTTGGAGTTTGGCGGCTTGGGCTTATTTGGGGCTGCGGGAGTGGGTGAGAATTCGTGTGATGTTACGGGGACTGCGATGGGGATCAATTCCCCCTTTCATATTTAACTAAGCATGAGTAAGACCACATGGGAGTTTCTCAAAATTTGGGGATGCCTACAGTAATCTCAGATATATGAGGATATTAGCGCCGGTCGCTGGACTACGTAGAGGAGCTTTTTGAGAAGCTCCCACATGTGCCACGATAGGCAAAGTGGGCAAAACAATGAACAAGCTGGACTCACCTCTAGCCAGTGCCCCATTTGGAAGTTTGTCTAAACAGCCCTACGTTGACCCGACATAACACCTAACAGAGACCCCGATAACGTTAAATCCCCAGATATCCCAAGTGTCAGCAGAGTACAGGAAGGAGCCCCCATTTCTTGCAGCATCAGCTGGCAATCATGATTTTTCCAACTTTACGACGGCATTTGCAGCTTCTCAGAAGGGCAACTCGAAAGCTGACTTGCCTTGGCAGAGAAAAGTCGGGGCAATCTGAAGACCCTGTGCTTTAGGGGAAGGTTTATCGGCCGGGTCATCTGTGTTACAGGGCATTCTGGAGGTGCCCATTGGATTCCATTGAAACCAGAACCCGACTGCAGCAATTGGGTATTTCTCGAAGTTGGGGTCACACTGCACACCACCAAATGACATATGTTGCATGAGTGCATCAGGGCCGCCTTTCGAATCTCTCTGCGCAGCTGCCACTGTTCTGCTGCAAGAGCGCATTGTTGTGTGTAGGAGTCCGAGTAGCAGGGTCAGCTGCATCAACATGCGAAGGACACCTTGGTTCAATGGCTACCAGCTACCACACCTCCCTGGAGAACACATCCCAGACTCAGCTCTGCCCCTTGAGCGTGCTTCCAAGTCCTGCTAGGACACTTCCACCTGCCTTTGGTGCATCCTGCACAACCAGCAGCTCTTGATTCGACCAAGACAGCTCGAGGATGTCGTCTCCGGGCACCTTTGGTGGCCCAGCTTGATTCGTGGCGTGCGAAAGTCCGCAAATGTAGGTCTATCTACTCGTTGCTCATGTTTCGGAGTTTGCAGCCAAAGTGTGCCGTGACTCAGCCAATGAAACTCCAAGCTCTAGACTCTAGAACTAGGCTAGAAGAGCTGTTGCAAAGCTCACGACTTGTCAAAGTCACACCTTACGATCCCTGTCGGCAACCTAGCATGGTCTTCTGGCCTGAGGCCAGAAGTCATATGTAAAGCACGCATGTGGGCACTCATCTGCTTTGTGAGCCAAGTCCTAGCCATTTCTGCCGACACAACTAGATTAGCTAGATTCGCTTCACTTGACAATCAGTCACAGAAGTGAGTAGAAGTGAGACATGAGGTTTTCGCCTGCTCTGGCAAAGCGGAAATTCGATCCCGCCCTGAGATGCCCTCACTCTTCTTCTGGCCCTCTGGCCCGCTCTCGCAGTTTGTGCTCTCAAAGTGCTCAGAACACTGCGCATGAAACTCAGTGGTCATCAGCGGGTTCATCCCAAACTATTCGCTTACAATTGTCTAGTGATTTGAGGTCCGTACTTGTGATGCTGCATGAGCTCGTGCAAGATGTGCCCTCTCCGTTCTGTTCACGGTGGCCTTCTCCTTCTGCCAATAGGTGGGTGTCAACACGGAGGCATCCTC